TAGTATCGCCATACTGTCGGTCAGTATTCTGATGGAGAAGTCTTTCACCTTCCTAGCATCTATTGCTATGGCCGCTTGGATGATACCCATGCATTCAGCCTGGAAGACTGTGTTGTGGGTACCCAGCGGTGTGCATATGTGGATATTAAGGTCTTCAGAGAAAGCCCCAGGCCCTATACCGTCATTTGTCTTAGAACCATCCGTGAAAACTTTAAGCTCTTTTTGACCCAATCCTTCCAGATGGTCAGTTTCCTTCAATTGTATCGGGTTAAGGTTCGGTTGAAAGCGTTAATGGTAAAAGTATTCTTGAAGTGAAAACTTCTTTAGAATCATTGTGAATTGTAAATGGATGAAATGAAAGAGCGACACTAAAAAGAGACAAATATATACAATTTTGGTGGTGGAAGGAAAAGAGGAGATCACCTGCCGGACAAACTAGTCACAGCCCGGGGAGCGGCCAACGCTCCGGGTGGTAGTTCGGAGCTATTCTATAGGTATATACTGCTTAAATTTCAAATGTTGATAGCGCGATTTAAGTTTCAATGTGTTTCGCCACATCACTCCTCTGCTCAGACCGGAGGTCGACAGTGCAGTCTGGTTGCAGGTTTGTCCTTAATGTCGGTGGGGAATGCATGCTGTGTGCGTAAAGGGCAAGCGACGCCTGTGGGTAATGCATGTCGAACTACGTACTTGCAAGTGATGCCGGTGGGAACCCGAAGTCTACCTTATAAGTGAGTCAGGATGAAGACAAGTTGGACTGGCTTGCAGGAGGTGTAGACTGTAGAAGACGATTCTCAGCAGTTAATGGTAGGGGTTCTTGAGAATAATGACGAAAGTTTAAAGTCATTATTTCCGAAGGTTGTTTGGTTACGTGTTTATATTACGTCGGGGTCGGGTCGTTTAGTAGTGGAAAGAAAAGAGGAAATCCCCCGCTGGGCAAGGTGTTTAGCCCGGGGAAAGGCCAAGGCCCCGAGTGGTAGTTTGGAATATTTCTGTAAATACTGCTTTACTTTGGAACTTTCATAGCGCGATTTAAGCTTGTGGCAAATCGCCAAGGCGCCAAAGCATAAAAAGAGTATATTAGTCTTTGGACTATACTATAGCTACCCACGCTAACTACGCAATAGTAAAAATATAGGAACCTACTTAACTTTAAGTTTTTAAGCTGTTCTGTTACTACGTATTATCTTTTATACTTATTACTTTGGTGGTAGCATTATTAATATAAAGTTCATCACTGTTAATGCCGTTTTAATGAATACCCCAGAACTACAATACGATACCAGCATAACACTATTGGCCTCAATTTGTTTCGCTTGTGACGCTACGATAGTGCCGCCACACAATTGTAGAATTAACCTGAGAGAGAATGAAATAGAATACAGTATATCACATAGTATATCATTCAGTATTTCCTATTATCTCGGTCTCCTTTTTTGAAGGTTTCACTTTTACCGTAATATATGATAGAACCATTCTGTTTTATTTAAATTATAAAAGTGTACTTGCACAGTAAAGATCTGCTCATTCTTTTAGATTTACAAATTTTTGTGCAAAGGAATATGCGTAATGCATACCATTGTGTATATTACTTTGCACAAAAACTTAAACTTAGTTTGAGTGCTTGACTCAATCAATTTTGATAAAATACTGGTTATAATAATTGCATTTCTTGAATTATTTAAAGGAATAAAAATTGAGTTTTATGCAGATTGATTGAATGCATCAAAGACGTTATTCGTGTATGTACTGAATGTATGTACATTAATGTACTGAGCTGGTAGATAAATACAAAAATAAAATTACAACCCACAATAGGTGTATACCCATAGTTCGCCACAAGCCTTCTTTCATTTCGGAAAGGGTTATGAAGCAATGAACCACACTGGAGGTCAGCGGTGGGTTCATTGCTTCATTCATGTTCATGTTGGCGGACGTAACTTGTCCTTGAAAAATTCAAATAATGGGTGCGTTTGGCAGAAAAAAGCGCTAGCAAGCGCTTGTAAGCAAAATGGCGATCGTAAGCGGTAAGCGCTCTCATATCGTAAGTAGCTATTTTCCTCCAGGACACGATGTTAGTTTTAACCGGGAAACCTAACCTAATTTAAATATATGTTTGTAAAGTATTCATATTAAAATCTTACCAATCATGAATTTTAATAACATGTATATGTTTATTCATGTCATTATATTACTTAAAACTAATATTGCACAAAACAACTTATAAACTCTACTTCAAAACAAACAAAATTAAATAAGCAAAATGGCGGATTGTGTCAGCGCTACCGAAGTAGCAATCGTGTCCTGGCCGAAAACTATTTCAGCGCTTATAAGCGCTTGCTAGCGCTTTTTTCTGCCAAACGCACCCAATTTAAATAAAGTAACTGACTTCAAATAACTGAAAAGTATTTTCTTCAAAACAAATAACCAGGTGGTAGGACTAATTTTTTGCTTAGAAGTCCATCTGGCTAGGTACCATACTCTTACCTATTTCCAAAAGGTTTAGAGAGGCAGTATAGGCTGTGGGGCATCCCCTTTTAAAAGTGTAATTTTTTCAAGGATATGTATTACATAGCTATTTTGACCTGTTTCAAGAGTAGCGTAGCATGATGCTGGCGCCCGGGACCCCTAAAACCAAGTAAAAGGACTTGCAAACTGTCAATGCTGGGTAAGTTTGGGATGCTGTCGCCCAGGTACGCTAGAGACAAATAAAAGAACATTCGTCGCTGGGCGAAATAAATCGTCGCGTTCTTCATCTCACGCCCAATCTACAGTGATGAACCAATGACTGGCCCCGTTCCTGTACGTATACACCACGTTGGGTTCGGGAATCAACGCGGTGGGCGTGACACCTGATAACCTCAATCGCCCTTTTAAAAGAAAGTGTCTGACAACTAACAATACGGGCCGCAAGGAATGGTCCCGACCTAGACGTCACTCATGTACTTAGTGGACTGTATATCTTCTTACTTTCCTAGTTATATGGTAGACACTGGCGAAATAAAACAGCAGTTGTTCGTAAATACCCCTTGGAAATGTGATACCGAACTTTCACTACTTTCACTACTTTAAACTTTTACTTTTACGGAAACCATAGCTGGTCCCGAACGCGGAACTCCGGAAAGCGGGGGAGGGAGGCGGTGAATGCTATTAGCATACAACGCAGCTGACTGTGCGGTTATGTGGAAACTTTTACCCACTAAACACCGCCTTTAGGGACTGGCTTAAAGTTCTAGCTGGAGATATCTAAGCCTATCAAACGCGACCCCCCTTGGGTGAAAGGGTGGCGCTAATTTAGCTTTAGCTCGTTAAGTATACGGGAGGTATGGGATATAAGAGAAAAAAGGCGGTCTAGGTGAGACCCGAAATGTCCACACGACTAACTTCCCGGTGGAAAGAATAAAAAATATCATGTTTTAATATTTTATACAATTTTTCATTCCGCACAAAAAACGACTTGACCGATTTTGCTCAAAATTTAATGAGGTCTAAGTTACATAATTATGCGTTAAATGAAACCGGTCCCATGTTAGTATCACTCTTTGTTCTCGAGACACACGAGGCGAAAATTGAATCCGTAAATACATACATACATACATACATACGTACATGTGCATACACGGATATCCTCTTAAAAACCACACTATTCGACTCTAAAGACCTTGAAACGTGGAGATATGTTAAAATTTACAATTGGCAAAATCGGAACCATTACAATAACTTCGCACTTACAAAAATTTTTACTTGACAGAAAACTACTACAACTCATTGAAGTCTTAAAAAGTAACCCTACCTTGCACTAGGTAATTCTATATCGTAACACCGATGTTGATTCCCAGCAACACATCCTGAGTCAGAGACATTTCATTGTCCCTCTTACAATGTTATTTTGTATTAGATCTAATTTTACACGCTTTGCTACATTTGATCAATAAACAAATATATATATATATATATATATATATATATATATATATATATATATTACATATATATTTTTTTTATGCGATTGTAGATGTGGTAGATTCGATAGAAAATGCAAATAGATGCAACATCTCTTCGCAGCGCCAGTGAATCGAGTCGATCGGGCGGAGCACGGTCGTTAAAGATTCGAGTCGCTGTGCGCTGGATACGGTCAAGTGAAAGGAGCTGGCAATGGAAGCTCCGGCCCAGAGATACGCCTATCTCTAAAGTTACAAGTTCTCTAAGTAAAGTTACAGAAGGTGTCGTCCCGCTTTGATAAGCACGCCAAGCTTTTAAGAGGCCAAAATGGCCTTCTCTTCCAGGTGATCACGAAACTGCACATCATTCGATAAGTCGACACCGAGGATTCTGGTACTGGCTGAGACAACAAGGGGAGTGCCTTGCCATACGAAAGTTACAGCCTATATACGTCCCACTGCTGGGCACAGGCCTCCTCTCATTTTTGAGAGGATTTTAGGACAAGGAAGTGTCCGCCGCACTGCCCCAATGCGTGTTGGCGAACTTCACATGTCTTCGAAATATTTTTTCTTATTCCTCAGACGTGCAGGTTTCCTCACGATGTTTTACTTCACCGCCGAGCACGTGGTAAATCAGCACTTAAAATTGCAACTAACAATTTCATTGCAGCCGGCGGGGATCAAACCCGGGTTACTGGCGTTCTGTTATATTTACAGGGAGCGTTAACCATCTGAGCTACCACGGCTCTCGTCCACGGTCGATATAAGCTTGCCATACAAAGGGTGAGGATTTTTTGGCTGGGAATTGGGATTGGGATCGATTACCTATGCAGTGGACTCATGAATGGATATATGAGTAGTAGTAATGGATGAAAGGATTAACAAAGCTTTACGTTTAATGTTATGTACTATTTTGCTAACCAACAAAGTTACCTTAACTAGTGTTGACTGGCAGCCAGCCAAACTCGCTGCGGCTGACTGCGGACGCTATCTGCTACTTGCAATAACGAGCCGATGTGATTGAACGACCTCGCATTGTTATGAAAAGCGTAGACTTACGAGTATATGACGTATTGATATATTGTACAATACTTTTACTTCCATGATTATTTTTATTTTATGTTGTTTTGAGGTGGTAGCGTTGTGGCAGCGCTGTCGTCACGCCGCAAGCGAAACACACCGAAGCCTAAATCACGCTATCAAAATTCAGAATCATAAACAGTATATAATATAGAACATCTCCGAAGGAGCGTTGGTCGCTCCCCGGGCAGAACAACTTGCCCGGCGGGAGATCTCCCCTTTTCCTTCCACGGCCACAGCGTAAAAGGATTCTTGGCCAAGCCAGAAAGATTTTAATAATCTTTAAAATAATCTTGTTTAAAAAAATATAGAATAAGGCATATAGAATATGACAAACGAGCACACAGTCCACCTGATGTTAAGTGGATGCTTTGGCCCATAGACATCTACATTTATCGTCGATTAAAACTCAAAACGCAGATGCGTTGTCACCCCTGAGGACTAAGATGGCATGTCTCGTTTTCAGTAAAGAAGGGTCTCCGAATCTCTACACTCACCATACGAAACACAGCAGTATTACGCTGCTATTTTACATCGGCATTATGTGAGAGCTTGGTCCTTCCCCGGTCGAGCCAACCACTTCGTGCTACAGTTGCTTAGCAGTTGTAGTCAGCTTTTCTTTTTTTTTTAAGTTATTTCATAACCCTATTATGTGGACTCAGAAATATCACAATCTCAAATCAAACGAGTCATCTAAATAGTTAAATTTAAAAAATTAATCTCCTATTTTACCACCCTTAGGGGTAGAAGTTTGTTTCCAAATCTGTATAACCTATTTAACAAAAAAATTATCATCAAAATTGGTTCATTTGTGACGAAGATATCGCATAAAATATATACAAAAAACAACATACACTCGAATTGATAACCTCTACCTTTTTTGAGGTCAGCTAAAAATATAACAAGTGTACAAAAGTTACGCATAATTCAACCTATCTAATGTAGTATAATTAAAATGTATTCATTGTAATAATCCTATAAATGATTGGTTATAAGTGAAGTGATCGTAATAATACTAAATTATGAAGGTATATAGAGTATCCAATTTATATGAATATTGATACTCGGTAATCGTGTGTTTTGGTAATCATGAGACCTATTGCGTTAAATTTGCCGTACGTCAGACGAAGAGGCCCAGCGGGCCGTACTCACCGTACTCGTATCACACGTGAATCAACGCGTTCCAGCAAATTTTCCCGAAATATACTCCCCTGTCCTAAAATTTTGTTACAAGAAGAATCGAATGTTCAAAATACCTTTATTTTCAGAAAACGATGTCCGATAAATCTACTTGTGGATAAGTGAGTTCGATGTGACAGGATAGAAATATTTATTTTTCTTTCTCCATGTCTGATAACCTTATTATTCCAATGCAAGACTTTTTTATACGTGGTAGAGCCACGCTCTTACAGAATAAGAACCGGATACCCTTTATACTGGAAACGAGGCATTCCATTTCAGTCCTCACGGTTGATTCTCATCCGAGGATAAATGTAGATATCCGTGAGTCACAGCACCTCCATATACTTACCATCATATGCTGGTATGTCACCCTTGTCCTATATAAAAAAAGTATGTGGGCCTTTGCTATTGTAGTTTTTAATTTCCGACGTGTCGGGTGCTTCCCATTACCTGGTCACGATAGGGGCGATATTGAGGTGTTTGACTTCCAACGTCATAATAATCCCGGGTTATCTTCAGCTTTTGAATATTTATTTATGGTCCATCTACGCACACAAGCTTATAAAGAGTATCTTGAAGTGGTATGTTTGTATGGTATCTAACGATAAAAAAATAGGATTGTTAAGTGTATACGATTTCTAAGTCGAAAAAGTTCATTAATTTCTTGGTCACCTTCGTAATATACTTATTATTATCAGTAGACCAAGAAGCTTCGGCTGATTGTATGTACGATGCGAGGGCATTACATCACGATCAGATGTGATGTAATCGCCTCGCATTGTTATGAAAGCCTAGAGAGGGAGCTGCGAGTGTCATCATCATCATTGTAGTTAGAGCCTATCAAATGTCATAGAACATAAAACATAGGCCTTTCTATAGATTGCCTTATGAAGGATATTTTCATTTATTACCTACTTGGAAACAGATGAGTTAATCCGTATTTAAATGTAACACAAGTTATTGGTAACAATATCCACTACCCCGTATCATCCCGTGGGTGTCGTAAGAGGCGACAGAGGGAAACAAATCAGGAGATGAGCAGCAGCATCTTCCTAATAACGACTAAAATATAAAGCTTAGGTTGCCAACCCGCTTGCGAAGCGAGGCAACTATGGTAAATCTATGAGAGTGGCCTATGTTTTGCAGTGGACTTTAGTATACTGTTACCGTAACACGTTTGTGGTTATTAGAAAGTTTTCACTTCTTTGTTAATATTTATTTTAACTGTCATGGTGGAAGATGATGTAACACAGTTCACACTAACGATAATATGCTCAAGCCGTCAATGCGAACCAGTTTTGAACTGCAATTTCATAATTTATGTGTAATTCGTAAAACAGAGTGTTTACCAAATAATTTTTATTTGGTAAACACTCTGTTTTATTATATATATATATATATATATATATATATATATATATATATATATATATATATATATATATATAAGAATAAGATGCTGATCCTATCTTTTGTTTCATTTGCTCAACAGGTTGAAATAGGATAGTGAATTTTCTCACGCCGCAACCATATGACACAAAAATAGAAATTATTTTAAGTACCGTTCTTTAGTTATTACCTTTGTAGGAAGTATTTGCCGCATAGCCCGCTTAGTTACAGTAATGTTGCCATAGAAGTTACGCCTGCTTATATCCGTCTATTTAACGACTTCTTTAACTCTTAGAAATGGAGGGGGGATTCTCAATTGGACTGTATTAAGACGCCATTTTAGTTGTTATGTTTAGCTTGTGATATTGCTTAGTTCACCCAACAGTGCCATATAATACACATCCATAAATAACGTACATCCAATGGACTTGAAATTTTACTAATTTCGCAAAGTAGACGCTCACTAAGAACAGATTTAATGATAATCTTATCAAAACAAATTCATGATATTGTATATCTAGGTTTTACGTGGTAGAGCCATGCAGTTACATTTGTAGTATATTTGTAGCACGAATGGGTCGGCTCGACCGGGGAAGGATCACGCACTCACAGAATACCAGCGTCAAATAGTACTTAATACTGTTGTGTTTCGTATGGTGAGTGTAGAGATCCGGAAACATTTTATACTGGAAACGAGGCATTCCACCTTAGTCCTCAGGGGTGACAACGCATCTGCATTGGATTCTTAATCGAGAATAGATGTAGATGTCTATGGGCCACAGCATTCACTTAGCATCAAGTGAACTGTATGCTTGTTTGTCACCCTATACTATAAAAAAAGGTTGCGCAATAAAATATTACCTCTCTCCCGTCCCGACGGCACGGTTGCCTTCGAGGACGAGGAAAAGGCTGAGTGATTTGCAGATAGCATTGCCGCACAATGCTCTCCTAGCTCTCAACCCGTTGACCCCTCACACGTCCAGGCAGTGGAGGATGAGGTCCGCCGCCGGAACTCACCCCCTACGGCCTCCGAACCTATCTCTGTGTCCAATGATGAGATTTCATCCCTCATCAAAGGACTTAAGCCTAAAAAGGCTCCGGGCGCGGATGGCATCTCCAACCAAGCCCTAAAACACTTTCCTGAGCAGGTGTTAACCTTTTTATCTATTATCTTTAACGCCGGCTTCAACCTTAGTTACTTTCCCACTACGTGGAAAGTGGCAACTGTGATTGGAATTCCCAAGCCAGGCAAGCCTCTCAACCTCCCCTCCAGTCAAGGCAATGGGCAAGCTCTTTGAAAGAGTCATCCAAACACGTATGAGGCGCTATCTGTTTCCCACAGACGGTGACCCACTTATCATTCCCCATCAATTCGGCTTCCGAGCCCAACACTCATGTCCCCAATAAGTTCACCGTATTGTGGAATATATCCTCAGCGGTTTCTATCCTCGTCGTCATAAGACCATCGCGGTCTTTTTCGACATAGCTAAAGCTTTCGATAGAGTCTGGCATACAGGCCTTATCTACAAGCTCTACAAACTAGGTCTCCCCGATCATCTAGTACGTCTCGTGGCCTCCTACTTAAAGCATCGTACCTTTCGTTTTAGACACGAAGGCACGCTATCTTCACAGCGAACTATCAAGGCTGGTGTCCCTCAGGGCTCAGTACTTGCTCCTCTGCTGTACATCCTGTTCACCAACGACATTCACATCCCGTCGAAAGGTGTTCAGCTCTCCCTCTTCACAGACGTCACTGCTATCTACTGCATAGGTATCTCACTACCCTTCATACGGAACAAGATCCAAAAGTCAGTTGATGACCTAGGAGCTTGGTTCAAAAAATGGCGCATCGATGTGAACCCGGAGAAGAGCTCCGCCGTTCACTTCGATTATAAACGACGCCGTCTCAAAAATACTCCACCAATATGTATGCTAGGGACTCCAGTCCCCCGGCATACGACCGCCAAATATTTAGGTGTCACTCTAGACACAGGGCTCACTTTCAGGCCCCACGTCAAAAGAGTAACCCGTCACGCACGGTTCTATCTGAGTAGGCTCAACAGTATGTTGGGCCGACACAGTAAAATGTCTCTTAGAAATAAGCGTGCCCTTTATAAGGTCTGTATACGACCAGTCATGTCATACGCGGGGCCCGTTTTTGCCCACGCCAACCCTAAAATTATTAATGAACTCCAAATAGTTCAAAACCTTTTCTGTCGTCGAGCTGTGAACGCACCTTGGTACGTCCGTAATGCTGACCTTCATCGGGACCTAGACCTCCCCACAATCCAACAATTTCTCCAAAAACTCTCTGAGAACTTCTTCAAAGCCTCAGAGTCGCACTCAAATCATTTAAATTGTGAGGCAGCTACTTATGCAGCCCCACCCTCCTCTCACTATCGAGTCCGCAGGCCGAGAAACTCTCTCTCGGACCCGCCTAATAAACTAACAAA